CCTTTTGTGTCTGAGAACTTTAATTTTAATGCATTAGGAGAGGGTGGGTTGGGGAAGATCGACATCCTCTGACTAGCTAGTGTTTTCACATGAGTGTAAAACCTGTGTCTCCTGCTGAACTACAAGTGGTGGGATTCAAATTTTTTTTTACTACCAGTTCTGTGGGCGTGGCATGACTTGATGGGCGTGGCTTGGTGGGCGTGGCAGGGGAAGGATACTGCAACATCCCATTCCCTCGCCACCCCATTAACCTGCTTTCCAGCTCCGTTCTCCTGTGCAGGGCAACAAAAGAAGACCCGGCTGATCAGCTGGGACTCAGGAAGCAGAGAATAGATGGGGCGGGGCCAATCAGAGATGGTATTTGACGGTTCTCCGAACTACTCAAAATTTCCACTACTGGTTCTCCAGAACTGGTCCGAATCTGCTGAGCCCCACCTCTGGACCCTACCCAACAGCCCCATCATCACCCCCACCAACACAGCACCTTCCTCTTTGCTCTAGGAGGTGAGGGCAGGGGTTCCCAGCTTGACAGCCTGCCAATTCTTTGAGCTGAAAAACCCCCTGAAAAATTGCATGAAAGCCTAGAGATCTCCATTTGCTAGAAAGCAGGAACCACTCCCACCAGTGCCCATCTGTGATAAATACCTGATTACCTCTGTACATAGTGTTTGCCTTACTTACTTACTTTTTACATTTAAAAAACATGTAACTTAAACAGAAAAAGCTGAAAAAATAAGAAAATCGGGGGGGACGGACTACAAAATAAAATGTTGTACAAAGTAAATGTGCAAAATAAAATGTACCAAAAAACGTACAAATTTTTTTAAAAAAAAAATTCACAAAGTAAAAAAACATTTAAGAATAAACAAAATATTGAAAGAAGAAAAAAAGAAATGCACTTCTTACAAGCGATAATAGATTGGAACAAATATGTTCACATGAAAATCAATCATTTTAACAATTAACATTAGAATCAGAACAGAGGTTGACGAAAACTGGCAAAACAATAAAGAGTTAACAAGAATTTGTAAATATTTCGAGGCACTTGCTCCTCATAGCTAATCAGACGAAATCTAAAGTTTTAAAAACTTAAATTGAAAGAAACACCAATGTCTGAGCAGGCAGAAAGCTATGCGTAAAATTATGGAAACAATTTCCAAATAGTTAGTTTTCCTTGAGTTTTGTAGTATATTAGAGCTCTAAAAAGCAAGTTTCTTGTTCAAAAGTAGCACTTTCTTAGTTACATGCACTCTCTCTCTCCCCCCCTTCTCTTTCCCTCCCTCTCTTTCTCATCTGTGTTTGATCCTGCATCTGTACATAATAATAGGTTTTGTAACCAATATCTTGTGTTGTTAAGGTTCCAAGATCAACATACCATCAGCTATTTTTTTTCAAGCAACGCCTAGTTTATAGCACTTCATAAAACTGCCAGCCTTCACCTTTGATTGTCAGGTTAACCTGGACTTCGCACAAGGCCATAATATTTCAATAATCTTATCAGGTTTGCTTAAAAAAACTTTCCAACTGCAATAAGTAATACTTTACTCTCCTGGTTTAGCTACAGCAAAAGCCAGGAACGGGTGGGGGGTGGGGGAAGGATGTCATTATTTAGTTTGCAAGAAGTTACTTGTGCAGCTTACATTACAGATAGTCCTCAACTTAAAACCGTTCATTTAGTGACAATGGCACTGAAAAAAGTTACTTATATCCATTTTTCACACAACAGTTACAGTATTCCCATGGTCATGTGATCAAAATTTGGCCGCTTGGCAACTGGCTCGTATTTATGACGGTTGCAGTGCCTTAGGGTCTTGGGATCACCTTTTGCGACCTTCTGACAAGCAAAGTCAATGGGGAAGTCAGATTCACTTAACAGCCATGTTACCAATTTAACAAATGCAATGATTCACTTAACAGCTGTGGCAAGAAAAGTCATAAAATGGGGCAAAATTCACTGAACATGTAGACATGTCTTTTGCTTAATAAGAGACATTTTGGTTGTAAGTCAAGG